TGATTTTATTGAAAAATTTTTCGAACGAAAGTTGCATGGCTTGAAGAGGACACATGATGGAAATGTGGACTTGACCTTGAATAATCTTGTCAAAATCAGATCAAGATCATTAATGTTTTTTAAAATGGAAACCCCTATTTTTTATTACATATTCTTGTAGCTTATCTCAAGAGCTTTCCAAAACACTATAATAAAGTTACTTTTCGTTAAGTACTTATTAAGTTATAAGGCAAGACCAATCACTGATCCAGCCAATTAAGGCAAGACCGATCACTGATCCGGTCAACTAAGGCAAGACCGATCACTGATCCGGCTAACTAAGGCGCATGCGTATATAACGCCGGCGGTACTGTAACTTTCAAGCTCCATAACTCGGAAAGTACTGTAAGAATTAGACAACCGTAAGCGATCATGAAAGAGATTTGGAATATAAATATAAACAGCTAACAGAGAGGAGCCGTCGTGGTCGTGCAGACTAAGTGTCGGATTGGTAGACGAGGGATCCCGAGTTCAAATCCAGTCGGTCTCCGTTAATTTTTTCCGAATCTAATAGATATCTTTCAATCTCAGAAGTGGGATTCAGCCTATGTTACCTCAGAGAAGATACAGCCTATGTTATCTGACAGGTCGATCGTTCAAAAGTGAACGGAAAAAGTCGGGGATAGTACTCCAAAGTCGTGTCGGTCGTTCAAAAAGTGAACGGAAAAAAGTCGCGGAGTAGTACTCCAAAGTCGTGTCGGTCGTTCAAGAAGTGATCGAAGTCGGGAACAGAAGCTCCAAGTTTCGGATAAAAGTCCGATAGAGGAAGATTCGGTACATTCGGGACGAATGTAATACCAGAATGGTCGAACTGTAAGAATTAGACGACCGTAAGCGGTCATGAAAGAGATTCGGAATATAAACAGCTAACAGAGAGGAACCGTCGTGGTCGTGCAGACCAAGTGTCGGATTGGTAGACGAGGGATCCCGAGTTCAAATCCAGTCGGTCTCCGTTAATTTTTTCAGAATCTAATAGATATCTTTCAGTACTGAGTGCATGCGTGCGCGCGTGCGAGGGTGCGGGCGAGCAGGCGGGTGGGCGTGCGTGCGTGCGAAATATATCTAATATATTTTTGTCTTTATTTTATCTGCATTCCTTCTCAATTTATATCCATTTACTCTTATAAAAAGTGTTCTAAAAAATAAATTTATCTTCTACAGAAATAAATTCAAAACTAATGTATATTTCTATTAATGTAGCTTAGTTTTAATATTGGTTTAACTTTCTTTTTGCCTTTTTTTAATTCTAAGAATTAAATTGAGATTAAAGTTAACTTACATTAGTAGAAATGAATATTAGCTTTATTTCTGTACAGAATAATTGTTTAATCAAATTGACATCAAACATCATAATAACAGTCAGAATCACTATCGAGATATTAGACATTTTGCAATTATGTAGGTATCATTTTGCCATCATTTTAATCTCTTTTTGACATCATATTTCTGATCAATTTGATGAAATATTGATGACATCATTTTAACTAAGTTGTTTTCACTGGGTAATCACTTACATTTATTGCGACTTAACTACGTATTACATATTAACCTAACTATACTAAGAGCTATGCAATTATTGTTTCAGGCTATTTCTACGCTATTTTTCGTCCAGATGGGATATTTTCACCAATCTTTTTAACTGGTCGGACGAGAGAATTGTGTTGAGCGGACGCGCGTTCAAATTGAAATCAGGTATCAGGTGTTTTTTATCACATATCTATTGTTTCCAAGCGCTTTTGCTATTAGATACGGCCCTTTGTACTTTGCTTTTAATTTCGTATTAGCATCTGGTTTTACTCGTGTCTCGCGGATAAGTACGTATTCGCCTGCTTGGAATTCGGTAGGTTTTCTGACCGTGCGTAACAATATTCTTTGTGTAGTGACGAATTTTTTCAGTCGCTATAAGAGCTACGTCATGCGCTTTTTGTCTTTCAGCTTCTAAGTCTGCGTCTATTTCTGCGAACTCCCTAATAAATTGAGCCAATGAAAATCTGAATGAGATCGCTGTTCGAACATCAACTTTGACGGTGACGCCTTAATACTAGAATGGTAAGTGTTGTTCATAATATATTGCACCACAGTATTTAATTTCTCCTTCCACTCTATCGGCTCGTTTAACAATTTAGTTAAAGTACTTTTTACAAATCGATTCATTCTCTCTGCCATCCCATTCGCCCAGGGCGCAGCAATATTGCCTTTCTATTAATTTGATTTTTTTTCTTCTTAATTTAATTTTTTTCTATGAATTCACGGAATTCATTTGATGTGAATGTCGTTCCCCTATCCGACACTATTTCAGTCGGGTTACCAAATGTAGCGAATATATTTTTGAAAGCTCTAACTATCTCTTTCGTCGAGGTTGACTTGACTGTGTGCAACCAGGAAAAACGAGAGAATGCATCAACAATTATTAATATATGTGTGGCGTTTGGTGAGGAGCGTTGTCCACGATATGGTGAACTTGATGACGGAAAAAGATGTTGGCGGTGGGATTCGAAACCTAGATCCCTCAGGTGTCTAAGACTGAGCGCGCTACCACTGCGCCATGCGGGCCATGGTTCTTTTCATGGATGTCTTGCTAGGTATTAGTTGTGTGAGCGGGGGACCGCCACATATGTTTAAATTCGTCGCTCGTTTCTTGTGACGGTCCGAAATGATCTATATGTATTATCTGCATTACAGATGCAGGAGTGGGGTACAACGACGTCTCCCTTTCGAAACGATTCATAGAATCATTGGCCATAATACAGATAAGACAATTTTCGATATGCTCATTTACCCGTCTGCGCATACTGGGAAACCAAAAACATTCTTTTATGCCTTGCAAAGTCTTTTCTGTTCCAACATGTGCCATCTGTTGTGATGTGCGCGTATTATAATATATTAGAAACCATTGCTTTCGGAACAATAAATTTCAAACCGTCATTATTTTTTCTATAAACTAGACCGTCGACTAGTCTGAATTTGTCATCGTACAACTTTGAAGCGGTAATTCTGAAAGGTAAGTGTCCATCTCGCAATTCTTAGATTTAAGTTAATTTTATTAACCGCATAAACCAACGCGTTGCAATCGGTAACTATTGTAAAATTTAAACCATATAGATAAAAATGGAATCTTTCAACCGTACTATCGCTAGCACTTCGAGTTCATAACTATGAGAATTTTTTTCAGCTCGATTTGTAGTCTGACTGAAATAAGCAGTTGCCACCCAATTACCATTCCATTGTTTCTACAATAATATCGCTCCGAGTCCCAAATGACTGGCATCGGTATGCAGTTCGGTTTCCGCAGCGGGATTATATAATGTTAATGTCGGAAACGAGATAAATTCTTTTATTAGACGTTCGAATGATTCAATATACGGTTCGTCAAACTTAAATTCTATTTCTTTTCTTAAAAAGTTTTGTAACGATCTTGCTTTAATCAAAAAGTCTTTTATAAATTTACCAAAATAACTCGCTAAACCTAAGAATCTTTGAACTTCGTGAACGTTTCATTGGACGTTTAAAATTTTGTACAGCCTCCGTATGACGCGGGTTAAGCGTAATTTCCGATTCCATAATTCTATACCTCAAGAATTCAATTTCTTTACACAAAAACTGACATTTCGAGTAATTCAAGAAACTTGGAATTTGTATTTTTTTAGACACGTCAAAGTTTCCGATAGAACGACAAGAATCTGGTCTACTATTTCAGAATGAGAATGTCGTCGATGTAGACAATAATTTTTTCGTCACGGATAAGCGTATCGAGGATTTGTATAAGACGCATTTGGAATTCCGCAGGAGCTTCCGAAAACAGTAAGTATTTGTATTCGTATTGTTCATCGGGCGAAAGCAAAATATTTCGTGTCGTCTTCATGTACTCTTATATGATGAAATCCGTCCTTGAGATCTAACAAAGTGAAAACTTGCCGTATAATCTAGATAAACAGTCTTCAATTATGGAAATGGATACTTTTGTTTAATGACTCTTGAATTTAACGGTCTTAAATCCACGCACAGTCTAATTCTGTTCTGTTTTTCTTTTTTATAGGAATTATTGCACAATAGGGAAAGATATTCGGCTGGATAATTTTCAGTTTTAATAAGTCGTCGATTATTTCTCGGATCTGCAGTCGTTCGACATGAGCAAAACGTCGCGGTGCGAAGACATAAATTGAATTGTCCTTCAAATGGACGCGGACAGAATAATCGTCTTCAGATATGATTTTTGAATTTTCTATGGCCAATATTTCCTCCATCAATCGTTTTTTATTTTCTAGATTAAAATCTATATCGCAGTTTCGCTAATTATCGATTCCAGACCCCCGAGTCTTCTACGTAGAGAGAGAGATTGTCAAGAAGATTTACCTCTGCTCTCGTCTCATCAACCTCCGTCTCTCTTAATTTATATATTAAAATAAGTTTCTCTTTCTATAAAGTCTCGATCGACAATCAAATCTCCGTGGAATGCTTTTTCTTTTATAATATATAGATTCACATTGAATTTCGATCCGCTAATAAATTAATTGTCAAATCAACTTGCACCATATCAATAATATTCAATGGTGCCTTATTTAAGTTAACTCATCGATCTGCGGGCAAAAGAAGATTAATATACGGTTTAATATGAAACTCGTAAATGTTATAACAACAAATAACTAACAAATAAAATTGGACTTCTAGTGTCCATTAACGTAAATTACATTCTTTGTTACAGATAGAACATTTACTTGCACGTGTGGTTTGGCTCCAACCGATCGTCGTCTTCTGCCACAACCAATGCCACAGCATCCGTGTCCTCAGATACTGCCGTTACTGTCTGCACCATCTGCTGCTGACGAGCGCCAGGAGTTCTTCTCCGCTGCCGTAAGGTTGGACAATCGATGTCTCTTCCCCTTGCAGAGGAAGCAGGTAAATTCACTTCTACAAATTTTATATGAGTGCCCTTTTCTGCCACAGTTTCTGCAAGCACTGTCTCTTGATTTACTAGTGCTCACGAACGCGAATGATTTCTTCTCAATATCTATTCTTCTTTTAGTAATATTCCTCATTTTCTCCAGGAATATATTCAGTAAAGTGTCCGCAATGGAGAGCGCAGTGGCCCTTAAAGCACTCTGTGTCACCTCGCTTATTAACAAGTGGATGACGTCTCTGGTAAGTAAATCTAATTGTTTTAATAGTGCCATTTTTGCGATTACGTATTGGTCAAATGTCTCTCTGTTTCCATTTATGTGCCTCGACTTTTTGCATGACCTTGTAAAAAGGCACTTTCTTTCCAAAAACTTTAATTAATTCTGGTTTAAGACCAAACCACGACTCAATGGCTGCTCCACTTTGAATGTCGTACCGTCAAATCTTATTAACTTACTTGAAGCTGCCGCTTACTTTATCAACTTGTTGGATCCATGCATTTACGTTCTTATTTTCAGAGCCTCCGAACTTCGGAATCTGGGATACTAGCCACGTTACGGCACTTCCCGTCGACAGATTCTCAGCGAACAGCATCGACTGTATTTTTTGGGCGGGTGAGGATCGGCGAGGCGATGGGACCCTGCTCAGATCTCGGATTTTCCGATACGTTATTCTCTGCGTGTAACATTGATGACGGTCTCCTCGTCATGATGCTATTCGATCTCATTTGTTGCAGTACCTGGTTCATAAAACTCTTGTTGACTTCTCTGCATTTCTTTTTGTTGCAGGAGGATCATCTCGGCCATCTGGGACAACACCTGTTGGAACACGGCCATCGTTAACGGCTGCCCTGCTGCTGATATCTCCGCCGCTCCCTCGTGCTCTTCACGAGCAAACTCGGTTGATCCGTGCTTCTGCAGATGCGATAAAATCGCATCGATGAGGACTGTCTTATCCTTCGACACTGGGAGGCGGAATCGCTTCGCTTTCTTCTGGAGTTGCTTCAAGGTTGCTCTTTCGTAGAGTACCCGATCCATTGCCCGAGTTTTTGGCATCGCTTTCGTCAGTGGACCACGCACTGCTCCAGATTGCCGAACACCGAACCGACTTTTGCGCGATTAACTTTTGTGCGAGTAGGCTGAATCCTACTTCTGATATCCTAACAGCACATGATATCATACGAATATTCTATATTTATACTAAACGTACTGTGATACCAAATATACTAAGATTATTCGTATAAAATCTGTGTAGAATATCATTTGTTGTATATTTTCAGGATATACTCAGACTATAGCAAATAAACTTTGCTATATATATTGAATTACTGAGATAATACTGAATTTCAAAATATCCCAGATATACTCCAGATAATGCGAATATAAGAAAACATCTTGAAATATACTGGTGGAGATATCTCAAGATCATGTCATTATGACGATGATTTAAGATCATTTTTCGTCATTCGACGTCAGTGTATTAAAAAAATAATATAAAATAAACATAATATTTGTCACGAAATATTATCATCATAAACATATTGTCATTTAATCGTGATTTTTAAGTCATTTTAATGAATAAATAATGAAATAACATTATTAATTATTATCCTTCTTAATTAACCATAATATATATTAGGTGTACAAAAAAGTTCTGAGCTTTTTTTTGTAAAATTCAATCTTTATTCAAAAATAAACAAAAAAAAATATTAATCAGCGAAATATTCCCCGTTTGCATCAACGACCTTTTGCCATCTTTCGGGTAGCTTGCGAATTCCTTGACGATAGAAACTCACTGGTTTCGAAGCGATAAAGTCATCAATGCATTTTCGTATCTCTTCAAATCTCACCAAATGTGTATCAGCCAAATGATGCTGCAGCGACCGGAATAGGTAGTAATCGGAAGGCGCCATGTCTGGGCTATACGCCGCGTGCGGGAGAAGTTCCCAGCCTAACGCAAAGATATGATCCTGAGTCGCTTTCGCAACATGTGATCGAGCATTGTCATGAAGCAAGATCACTTTATGACGTCCTTGGCCAGTAAATGGCCTCTTTTCTTCTAATGCATTGCTTAAATTGATCAATTGTTGGTAGCGGTCTGCCGTGATTGTTTCACCCGGTTGTAACAACTCATAATACAACACACCTTTCCAATCCCACCAGATACAGAGCAAAACGTGGATATTAGGCTTTGGCGTCGATGTCGAAGGTTGACCAGGGTCAACTCATGATTTTCTACGTTTACCAGGTGTATGCATAAGTTTTTTCCGGTTTTTTAGTAAAAAAAGACACGTAATTTTCAAGGAATTAATTTTTTTTTATTCAAAATATTGACCATCGGCTTCTACACATTTCGCCCATCTTTCAGGTAATTTATGAATACCATGCCAGAAAAACTGCTTGTCTTTTTGCGGCAAACCATTCGTCGAGCCATTTTCTTCGAAATTGCTGAAGTGCTGCTCTGCGAGCGCGTGCCCATTGATGCGAAGAGGTGAGTAGTCAGATGACGTCAGGTCTGGGAAGTTACGGCGGGTGCGGAAGGATGTCCCATCCAAGCGATTTCAAGGTGTCTTTCACTGGTTTTGCTGTGTAAGACGGCGCATTGTCGTGTAACAAAATCACTTTGCCATGTCTTCTGGCCCATTCCGGTCGTCTTTCGATTAATGCGTGGTTTAAATTAATCATTTGTTGGCGATAGCGTGTATTAACGGTTTCGCCGGGCTTCAAGAGTTCATAATACACAATACCGCTCTGGTCCCACCAGACCACAGAGCATGGTCTTCTTGCCGAAGCGATTTGGCCTTGGTGTTGATGGACCGGCTTCGCCAGGTGAAA